GATACAGCCCAGGATACAGTTGGCAGGTGCAAATACTTTCTGTGCAACTCTGGAAAAGCACAAGCCAACATAAAGCTACAAGTACCAAAGGCTACCCAACCTGTGTATAACATTTCTCCTTCTCAAAGGTGTTGTAGAGGTCAGCATCATTTTCTATTTCCCCACAGATGAAGAAATTGAACTGAAAAACTCTCGTCCGGTCTAATCTCCCAGGCCCCAGGTCTGGATATGCACCCTGGCTGCATCCTCACTGTCTGTGGGGAGATGCTCCTGGTGTGCGCTTCACCCTTTCTTGATGGCCACTTTCCATGGGGAAAAACATGAGCTGGAAGGGAGCCACAGGTTCCCAGTGAAAAGGAATGGGAATGAGGAATGAGGAGTGTGCTGCAGAGCACCCCATCTTGGCAGCTGAGGTGCACCTCGGAGGCCATGGCCCAGACAGGGCTGGTCAGTCTTGGCCTTTGGCGGGGAAGGCTATACACTGCCCCGAAGGTGACAGAGCGGGGACTGCCAGCATGAGCCCCTGTAACATGGCCTGACCAATGCGGGGCTGTCATTCCCACTGAGAATGGCACCTAAACCTCCTGAAACTCAGGAGACTACCTGTAGTTTGAAAGGGCTGTCAGGTATTGGAACAGGCTGCCCAGGGAGGTGGTTGAGTCCCCTTCCCTGGAGGGACTTAAAAGACGTGTGGTCAAGGTACTTAGGGACATGGTGTTGGGCTAATGGTTGGACTTGATGATCTTAAGGGTTTTTTCCAACCTAAAGGATTCCATGATTTTACAGGAGTGTGTTGGCTGCGTTGACACAAGCAGAGCTCACCCCCAGGTGACAGCCACAGCTCCTGAGGACAGCAGTTCAGACGGAGTCATGGCTGCTAAGTAGCTCACGTTCACCAGCAAGTACAGGCATGTAACCAAAGGAATGGCAATCATCACCGCTCTGGGAAGGGTCACCTGGAAATGGGATGACCAGAGTGTTAGCCACATCACATTTATGCCTCCACTGGGCTTTCTTTGTTTGTTTTGTCTTTGCCACCACCCACGTTTCTCATTCAAACTCCTTCGCTCACTAAGCTTTTCCACAGAATAAGACTTAGATTCAGATTCACATGGCAGTTTTTACACCAGTCTCCCAAAGATGTCAGGTAAACAGTAAGGTTGTACATTTCAAAAGCCAGTCTTAAAAAAATATAACAAAAACAACAACACACCAAAAAAAAATCACAAGATGAACAACAAACCCAAATCTTATTCAAACAGACTGGTTCATAGCTTCCCAAGATGTCATTTGCATACTTCTTGATTACTTTAATACTGATTTGTTACTAGTGTGTTATGTCTCCTGGTGTCCTGCATCTTCCCATGAACATTCCACTGGCATGGATGGAGTACCAGTGTGTGTGTTGCATCACATGTAACAGCTCTAAGGGCTAAATCAAAGCTGGGCCGCAGAGGGGAAATTTGCCCTAGGAAGGAATTTTTTTTTCTCCCTAATGACAGGATACTATCTTGGAACTTCATGGATCAATTTAACGCTCAGTAAAATCAGCAAACACTACCTTGTGAAGCTGAAAGCACTGGGGGGAAAAAAAAAACCAAACTCAAACCACAAAAATCCCCAAAACCAAATATTACGGTGATCACAGAGCAACTGTATACACCTAAAAACCTGAAATATCAACATTTCTGTTCCCCATTCACACCGTAAAACAAAGTACAGCAATTCCTTATGTTGTTGCCTCCACCCTGCAATGGTTTAAATATCAGTGCTCATGGTCCCATGGGAGAGAGTGCCACATGATCTTTGCTGCCATTTAGATTAATATTTAACTGTGTATTTTCATTTAATCTGTAAAATCTTGGGTGTTGCTCTGGAAGAAAGCACACTTTATACACTCTGCCCTCACACAGCTCATTCTAAAAAGGGTTGTTCACTGCTCTAGTGTCTGATCTGTGACAAGAGGTAATATGGTACAGAGCAGGCTGATGTGAGATGCAGGTGAGCTACTTCAGTGCCTATAGCATGGACAGAGCAATGCCTAAAAGGCAGACATTTAAAGACAAGGGTCACTCGGAGAGCTAGATTCCCTCTCCAGTGAGGCTTGACTTGCTCTGAAGTTCCCCCTTCATGCAATGAGGAGAGGTAAGTGTTTTTTTTGAAGCGTACATTATGGATCAAGTCTTTTAGGGAATATGCAGTGTTAAGAACCCTTTATGGATTACAGCAAAATGAGTGCTTTTCTACATAGACCTCAGTGTCTAGAGTGAGATCCTCTGAACATTAAGACAAAACTTAATCCCTAAAGCATCTAATTGCAGTCTAATATTTTTTTTCCAGTCAATGGGGCATTTTAGTGCTTTCTTCTTCATAGGCTGTAAATTTTGCATAGAGACTAATTTTTACCCTCTCTGGACACATTTTTTACCCTTTCTGGACACATTCATAGGTGTCCATCCCCAGAAGACTGAACAAACCAGGAGGAAAGCCTTTCCTCAATGCTCTAATCCCTTGATTGCCCCTCCACACAATCACAGACAGAATCAAACATTAGCAGCAGCATGAAGTAAGTAAAACCCAGCTCACTCACTCACCTCAGGCTTCTTCAGCTCCTCAGTTACGTAGTTCAGGTTGTTCCACCCATCGTAGGACCAGAGTCCCTGGTAAAACGCCACTCCAACTGCCCCAATGCCTGCAGTCGTGTTTTGAAAAGCATTTTGAAAACTCTGAGTTTGTCCCTTGGCAAGCAGCACCAATCCACCCACCACGATCACCAACAGAGCCAGGAGTTTGGCAGCTGTAAAAATGTTCATAACTGATGTCGCCAGCCTCACGTTGAGGCAGTTGATGATAGCTAAAAGCAGGATGCAGGCAGCAGCTGTACATTTGACGACAACCTGCGGAGATGAGCATCCTGGGTAGAACGGTGCAACAGCATATTCAGCAAAGCTCAGACAGACAGCTGCCAAACCAGCTGGTCTCACCAGGATAACAGAAGTGTAGGAGAAAAGGAAAGCAGGAAAAGAACCAAAAATCCTCAAGATGTAAATATATTCTCCTCCAGATTCTTTAATTATGGTTCCAAGCTCAGCGTATGACAAGGCTCCAAACATGGCCAGGAGACCACATGCTGCCCAGATAAGCAGGCTGCTGGCAGGGCTCCCCATATGATGTAGCACCCACTCAGGGGACATAAAGATCCCCGAGCCTATCATAGTGCCTGCAATTAATGACACGCCACTGATCAGGCCGACCTCTTGCTTCAGTCTTAATTTTTCCTTCCCTTCACTCAGATCTGTGGATGAATGAGATGACTCTGTTGTCTTCCTTTTCCTCATTGTGGAGGAGATGATGTTGGTAGGAGATAATATGGAGTAAGTCTGAGGCACTTTAATAAGGACCATCTCAGGCTTTTAGGGTTAAGTTAATAATTACAAAAGTCACGCTGTCAGGAAAAACAAACACCTCCTTCGTTTAGCACTCTTTCATTACCCATCTTATCTTGACATGGTTCAGATCCTGCCAAGTTCGATTACCTTTGAATCCCACTGCAAGCAATGGTAATGGATAGCATTCAGCACCACCTCTGAATCACTCAGCACCTTACTGGACTGTGTCACCAATTACCTCTCCTTCAAATTATGCTTCAAATGTTATCTGAAATTGGGGTCAGGTAAGCAAAATCCCCATGCAAATCTGTACTTTATTCTTTGATTAATAGTCAAAGCTCAAGCATCTGCATTAGTGCTGCAAACAAGCAAGTCTGTCACCCAACATGCTATGGCCTTGCTCAACAAGGAACTTTTCCCAGCGTCTTAATTAAAGACACAGAAATGTTCTTCTAAAAACAGTCCAGAGACTGTTTTTCTGCATAATAGTAGAAGACAATTTTGAGGGCGGGTGAGGTGTCAAATTTTAGAAAGTGCAGGAGGAGAGGAGTGAAAAGGCTGTAATTACATTTTTATAGGCCCTTTTTGCCAATGTACATGAGGTATGCACATTCTTATCAGATCATGATCATCAGAGGACTTTGTCACTGCTCATCATATACACATTTCAGTGCACACCCAAGAGAAACGTAGAGGTACAAGCTTTTGGAAATGCCACTGACTCCTACTTCAATATCTAACACATAACATTTCAGACTTTGGAGAGGGTGCTGCTATAAATCTGATTATTGTTACAGTGCATGAGGGTGTATTTTGAGATCTGTGATATGTACAAAGTATTGAGCAGATGGGAATGTCCATATAGACTCCTTTGAACTTAAACTAAACTTCACTGACTACAAATGTAAAGAAGCAGAGTTACTGACCTTGGTGGTCTCTTGCAGACTTCTGTTGTGATAAATACCAGAAAATAGGAGTAAGACATTCTTCAGCTCTTCCTGGAAACAGCAGACCTTGAACCTTTAAAGCTATCTGTCCTCCTCAACTTTCTGAGCTAAAAAAGTCATGAACATAAGCAGAAAAGAATTTTTATTGTTTGTCTAAAAATTCCTTCTGTTCTAAATAATTTAGATATCTCTTTGCTTGTTTTTTTTTTTTTAAATCACATCACTAGCTTTGCAGTTTTCTCCAAAAAGAGTGCAAGTGTCAGCAAACTCACATGCCCGTAAGAAAAACAATATATAGAAGTCATAATTTCTCTTGCTAAATGAAATAAAGTTGCACAAATCTTAGCATCAGGCTGAAGGCCTTTAATTTCTTCAAAGAAGCAAAGAAAGAAATCAAAATGCATTAAAGAGTAGGGATTTTTTACAATATAAATCTTATTATTATATGAAGAAAATAATGTGAAAAGTTTGGGGGAGTTGTAAGGGGTACTAGAAGCTATTCCTAATACCAACTCACCAGTATTCACAAGGAAATGGATCCCAGATGGATTTCTCCTCATTTCAAAGTCACTAATAAAAATTTACAACTGATCATTCTGTAGATTTAACAAGAGTGGAAGCTTACTTTGTATCAAGTAGGTTTTTTTAAGTCTTCCTAACAAAGATGTGAGTTCTAAGAATAAACATACACACCTTGTAGAGCAAGGATGCAAGTTAATGTATTTTAAGTTAATGGTTTGCAAAGTGCTTGAGAACTTGGAGGGAGGCATCCCAGTAATGCAGAGTATTTTGTTTTACTTCTACTAAGTGACAGTGCTCTTCTTGTCAGCTGGTTTAGCTATTTGTAGCATGTTCCTTTTAAAATTGCTAAACACAGTGTCAGGCGATGCTGGAATCCTTCAGAGGTCTAAAGGTCTAGTTCTTTTCTGCACTACATACACTCTACTTCTGTGTGCACCCATACGTGTATTATGAATACCAATCCTAATTGAAAATGTATTCACAAAATACAGTTAAATCAATGGTAAAGGAAAACTTAATATGACTACAGGTGGTTAAGTATCCTTCTAGTAAGGTTACAGACATATTTCCATAACTGTTCTCCTGTTTTAATGAAGGAGCTTCTTTTCTAAAGTGCAAACGCAAGGTTCTTGGAGGGCCTGAGAGGATCTTTTCAAACCTTCACAGTTCCTGCTCCTAGAAATTAAGAACTTTGATGTTGTAGAAAGAATCAGAATTTCTTCAAATTTGATCATATTAAAGAAAAATTCTGTAAGTCCTCTCAGATAACAGGGATTAATTAACTGGTACATCAACAGCTTCAGTCAGTTCCTAAAGGAAGGATCATTGTTACTTAGTTCTAACTGCTTCTACCTAAAGTAATAATGAAACTAAGTAATCATGATAAGAACTTGGGGCTATTCTTGTGTAATCTGACAGTCCGATTACTTTATATTTTTTTCTTTCTGTTGACTTGTTCTTTTTTAACTGGTATCATCAGCAAGGAGCAGCCGTAAGATAGTCACATGGATTGTCACAATTATCTTTTGTCAGAACTGGCCATATAAAAGGGCATCTCACTGCTCCCCTTCAAAAGATGTGTATGAGCAGGAGTAAAAATAAGGTAGTGCTCAAGCTGTCACATCATAAATCCCCTACCTAAACAACTCTCACTTTTCAGTTACCTTTGACACTGCAATGGGTGGTTGCCATCTACTGGTCTCAAAACAATAAGGCAGCTTTGTCCAGTGAAACACGGCTCGCTCTACATAGGGTTTTGATATTTTGCATTACTGGTTAAAAAGAAACACTACAATAAGTATTAGTTCTTCAGTATTAAGGTAAAACAAATAGAGAGTGTACCTGAGTCATGAATGAGAATTATCCTTAATGTGTTCAGGGCTATTTTTATCCCAGCAATAGCTACAAGAAAAATAGCTAAATCAGAAAAAGCTGATTTGAGGTAAAGGCCAATGTCAGTGGTAAGAACTAGACAAAACTTGTGGGCAACTATTTTGCAATATTTAATTTTAGGTCCCAGGAGTGGTATTTGGAACACAGTTATGGGCTTGGTTTGCCTGTCCTATACTTGGAAAAGAGCTACAAATCTCAGAATGGGGATTAAAAATAACTTACAGCCTGACGATGGAGTGGCCAAAGCCATTGCCCGTAACTTTCTTCAGAGGTAGACACCAAAATTTTGTATTTACATTTACATTTTTATGTATATTTATATTCATATTTATACTTATATTTATATCTATATATTTTATACTTATAAAACTGTGCAGGGATAGAGATTGTCTTTTTTTAAAAAAAAGAAAAAAAGTTGTATGAGATAAGCTAAGGGTTAGAAAATTCATCCAGGCCATAGGATGTAGAGGTTCAATGGCCTTCTCTACTTGAGAACACACACAAATCCACAAATCCAAGTTGAACACCCTCACGTCCAAAATGCAGACTTTGAGCTGCAATTGCAGGCAGATCTTGGTACGTGCACTTGTGATATAAGTAGAGATGCCTGCTTGAAAAGAGGGAGGAAATAAAGGCTAGGAAAGTGGAGCTCTGAAATAGGTCTTGAGCCCAGAAGAAAAAATGGGGCAGGAGAAAACATGTCCCAGGTGCCCTGTGTGAAAAGAGAAGGCAAGAAGACTCATTGTGAGGCGTCTGCCTGGAGAGACACTGCAGCTTGGAAAAAACCCCGTGTGGGCTACTGGGAGTGGGATGGGGGGAAAGGCATGTTGAGGGTGCATGACAGCCCTCGGCTTCACAAGAATAATCACTAAAACAGAGCTTGTTTAAGTGTGGACAGTAACCGCCTTTCCCTGTCACGTTACAGTAGCAGATCTGAGCCCAGGGGATTAAGGGGGAATCTAAAACCCAAGAATTTACTGTAATTTAGAGTGACATATGGGTCTGCAGGCAGCCTGGAGTGGGGTCCACAGGGAAGAGAGCTCGAGCCGCCCCGCTCTCACTCAAGTAAGACTTCAGCACGTTCTGGTTCCACAACTACTAAACTTTGAAAGATTTGCTTTTGTTTTACAGATACTGTGCATGAAAACATATTCCGTATCCCACACATTGCCAATGAGATACTGAGTATTTTGTTATCTTACTGTATTCAGGAGGAAGCTACTAATCTCGTACTGCACGTTCTCTGGGCTGCAACAAGAACCACAGCTGAAAAGAAAGGAATTACAACTCCCGTGAGTAGTGAGCCCACCGCTGCTTGCAAAGGTCAGGAGCTGCAACTTCAGTTTGCAAACACTGTAATTTAGAAAGATTTATACTAAAATTAGAAAAGATAATGCTTTTTACCACTAGACATTGCAAACATTAAACACCAACACAACCAGGGAAGATCCTAAGCAAAAAAGGTCTCAGTCCTCAGACTGAGAGCAACAGAAGAGGATCTGCATTAGTGTTCATTCCCCAGGCTGCTTGAGCAGCGACTTTGTTACGAAAGAACCCACCCCAAAACCAAAACCCAAACCTACAAAAAGTCAATCTTAGACTGGTGCTGGCTCCAGGATTCCACATTTAGGCACTGCAGACAGTTCCTGTATCAAGTGCCATCACCACTTTTCCTTTTACCCTCTGGAGGAACAAATATGTACAAATTTCTCTATTCCCGTTTACATTCATATTTCCTAATTTTATAGGTCTATGTATACACAGTGTATGTACACACAACATTCCAAACTTGTCCCCTTTTTTTTTACTTACCCTAGCAATACTTTAAATTAGTCTCAACGGTGTCTTTGCATTTGTTTGTACTCTTAAGACCTTTTAAATTTTGGAATTAATTTTTCGTAAACTTAATATTAAGTTTAATTCGAAATTAGATTATCTTGTCCTATATGAAGCCTGTTTTGCAGAATATTATCAAATGAATGCTGTCATTTTAAACACTGGAATACAAATAAATATTTTAATAAAAACTTTCTACCACGCAAGATTAAAAATAGAATTAAAACACGGCTATGTTTTCAATTCCAAAATTCTGTTTAATCAGTAAAATGCATTCCTACTTTTATGAGTAGATGTATAGTAACACTTTCACTAACA